AAGTTGAGTGATAACTTGTTGACAGGCTGAAGCAGACGGTCCAGTGACAATAATGTCATCAACATAAACTAAGATGAACACCATTGGATCTATCTTGACAAACAAAGAGTGATTTGATTGAGAACCAGTAAATCCCAAAAAGGTCAGTGCTCCATGAAGTTTTTCATACCAAGCTCGGGGAGTTTGTTTTAGGCCATAGAGAGGCTTATGGAGATGACAAATGTGATTGGGATGAGTAGAGTTTTCAAAGCCAGGTGGCTGTTGCATAAACACTTGTTCAGAGAGATTACCATGCAGGAATGCATTGCTGACATCAAGCTGATTTAGAAACCAGTCATATTGAGCTGCCAAAGTGAGAAGAATTCAAATAGTGACTGGTTTAGCAACCGGACTAAAGGTTTCTATATAGTCTAATCCTTCTTGCTGGTGAAAACTTTTTGCAACTAGACGTGCCTTGTACCTGTCAATTATACCATCGGGTTTCCTTTTGATTCGAAAAACCCACTTGCATCCTACTACATTGGTAAAGTGAGATAGAGGAACTAAAGACCAGGTTCCAGTTTGTGTCAGTGCAAGAAACTCATCTTGCATAGCTTTAACCCAGTGAAGATATTTAGAAACCTGAAGATATGTAATGGGAATAAAGTCATGAGAAAGATGAGAAGGTAGATGATACTTGGTTGCAGTTAAGGCCTTAGGCTTGTAAATGCCAGATTTAGATCGGGTTTGCATAGGATGAATATTTGTGGGAGAAGGTGAATGTGGAGGTGGAGGTGATGGAGAGGCACAGATAAGAGGTGATGGAGTTGAAGAGGCACGAATATGAGGTGATGGAGGGCACGAATATAAGGTGATGGAGATGAGGTACTTGGGTTGATTGTGGTGGTAAAAAAGGTTAATTGAGATGGAATAGAGGGATTGGGAGTAGCAGGACATGATGGGAAGGATGTTGCAGAGACTTGCTTGTGAAATGGAAAACTTGACTCATTGAAGATAACATGTCTGGACACATAGATCCGTTGAGAGGTGAGATCAAGACATTTATAACCCTTGTGGTTAAGACTGTAACCCAGAAAGATACACTGTTTGCTTTTAGGATCCAACTTTGATGTAGAATAAGGCTGCAACCAAGGAAAGCAATTGCAACCAAATATTTTCAGTGTGTGATAAGAGGGGGTTCTGTTGAATAGCAATTCCCATGGAGAGGCCTTGGATGCAGTAGGCATTCTATTGATCAAATAAACTGCAGTAGCAAAAGCATGATCCCAATAGATGTGAGGAACTTGAGAAACTGTCAATAATGTCCTGGCAGTCTCCACTAAGTGGCGATGTTTACATTCAGAGCAACCATTTTGCTCCGGGGTATGCGGACATCTTAGTTAATGGTGAATGCCATGCTCAACAAGAAAATTAGAAAATTGAGAACTCAAATATTCATCACCAGAGTCAGAACGCAGAGTTATAATTTTGGTGCACAACAGATTCTCAACATGAGCTTTGAACTTCACAAAGATACTGAAAACATCAGATTTGTATTGTATAGGAAATAACCAACAATATTTGGTAAAATCATCCACAAAGATGACATAATACTTGTGATGATGGCCCCTAAACATTTGTGTGAATGAGTTTTAAAGGTTTGCATGTCCAACTTGGCACAGTAACAAAAGGTAGCCTAGAACTCTTGCTTAATGCACAACCATTACAGAAAGTAGTATGAGTATTACCAGAAACAGAAATACAAGACTCAGATTTCAACTTATGTAGAATCTTAGTAGAGGGGGTGGCCTAATCGTTGATGCCAGACATCCCTGGAAGAATTGACAGAAGCACCAAATGCATGATGAGGATCAATCACCAAATCAGAGTTCAGAGGTTGAAAAGGATAGAAACCATTTCGCACTGGTCCTTTAAAGAGCATCTTCCCCGAAGAAATATCCTTCATAGTGAAGTGAAAGGGATAAAGATGCATAGAACACCAATTATCAATGAGAAATTGATTTGCAGAAAGCAAATTATGTTTCAATACAGGAACATGTAACACATTACGAAGCTGAAAATTATAATAAGAAGTAGGTAATTGAGAGGATCCGGAATGAAGAATTGGCAAACCTTTGCCATCACCAATAAAAACTTGCTCAGGGCATGTGTAAGGTTCTGGATTCTGGAGATTGGTATACGAATTCATCATGTGAGTGTTGGTGCCAGAGTCCACAAGCCAAGTTGGAGAAGAAGAAGTTGTACTGGCAACCATTGTAGAGGGAGAAGAATGACCAGAAAAGTTTGGATTCATTCGCTAAGGATAAACAAATGCTTCATGGCCAAATTGTTGACAAATTTGACAAGAAGTCTTTTTGTCAGATGAGGAGAAATTGGAGCGACCATCGCGATTATAATTGTGATAGCCTCAGTGCTTGGAATTCTGGCGAAAATTATTAGATCGAAAATTGCTGCGACCTTGAAAATTTCAAGGAGTGTAGACTGAACCTCGAGTTTGAGAATTGTTGCGATTTGGACCACGGCCTTGAGAATTGAAGTGTTGAGCTGCCATAAGAGCTTGAGAATGAGGCGTAGGAAGAAGACCAGCAGAGGAATTAAAGGCTTGAAATGGCGAAGACGGAGATGTTTTATTCCAATTCGTTAATTGAATCTCCTTACTAAGAAGAAGGCCATGAAGTTCATCAATTGTTGTGGAACCGAGGTGAAACTGAATTGCGTTAACACATAAGTCGTTTTCAGCTGGAAGTCCATGAAATGACAGAAATTAGCTCGGAATATTCAATTGGAGCTCCGGCACTGGCAAAAGCGTCAACAATTTCTTCAATTTGTTGAAGGAATCGTGCAGCAGAAGAATCTCCCTTAGTCAGACTGCGAAGATGAGATCTGAGTTCATGAATGTGCGATTGAGAAGCAGTTGTAAGCCTTGATTCCAATTTTGCCCACAATTCTTTGGAAGAGGTGACTCCAACAATGTAAGGAATCAGTGAATCAGAGAGTGTATAGTTGATCCAGATGAGAATGTTCTGATCATTCTCAAACCAGGTAACATAAGCTAGATTCAGAGCACGAGATCCAGTTGCATCAGTGAGAAATTGAGGCGGTGGAGGAACCAAGCTATCAACAATGCCTGTAAGATTGTACCGACGGAAAATTGGAGCAAATAAGGCACTCCAAGTCAAGTAATTCGTCGTGGTCAGTTTGATCAGTACCAGAGATCCAATGTTTTGGATCGTGATGGAAGGAGCGTGAGATGTGGTAGAGAGATTGGGGCTGGAAGCGATGATTGGAGGAGGATGAAGGTGAGAATCAGAGTCAGAAGAGGGAGAAGCCGATGTCGCCATGGAAGAGTACAGAAGAAATTAGGGTTTCAGATGCAAGAAGCTACATGGAGATGGAAGCTTAGCAAGGAAGATTCGCAGAGTCGCAGAAAACGTTGTAGCGAAAGACAGGGGATCGAGTCGTTAGACAGAGGCGAGGGATACCATGTTTGAGAAAGAATAACTTTTCATTTCAATGAATAAAATTACAAGATAGTTGTATATATACAACTCATTTACACATATCACTGTCAACTACTCTCCAACCAACTAACTACATATCTAAACTAATTAACAAATATTGAACTATATCTCTAAGTATTAACTAACTATTGTATTTACATTAGTATCCTTAATAAAGCTAACATACGTCGACCACTTTTCAAAGTTACATAGTTATTAGGAATATTTTAAAAAGTTATGACTAAATTAGAATCACCTAAAAAACTAGATAGTGATCCGTACGTAATCCTAAAAACTAAGTTGAAAAGAAATTATGCAGTGTAAAATAAAAATATTATTGTATGTGATAGTAACACAACATGAAATGTTGCTACAAGTCCGCAAAAATGATAATGCTATAGTAATTAAGATTGAGGGAAATAATTTATGTAGTCGATCTCGTTTAATTTGGAAAAAGGCTAAAACTGTGATGATGTAACCATGAACAAGTAATTATACTTAAAATATATATTACGTACGCAAATAACTTACACAAGTACTCCTAACCCGGTAATGTTCCGAGATGAAACTCAAATTATGTCTCAATTAAGAACGACTATATATCAAGTTATCAATGATTCTCACGACTCACGATTCAATAGATAGTTTCGTTTGACATTGTGATAAAGTACATTGCACAACAATTTTCATTTGGACATTTGTCTTATCTCATCAATACAAATACAATAATGATCATACAAGAATGCAATTATGCCCTAAGTTCGAGTTTATTTAGTCAACAATCGATCATTCTCTCTTTCTTACGCATGGCAGCAGTTCTCGTGAACTACTAAAAAATTGTGAGATTCTTAATGAAAAGATGAACTACGATGAAAGAGGAGAAGGGGGAGTCAGGTCATTGATAATTTGAAGATCTATTACTCCAAGTATTTTCCTTAGCCTACAATAGTGAATTGTTCTGATGATTATAGTACCTTTTGATTCTTTTCAACTCACTGCATTTTGAATTTAAACTCACCTCCCTTCTGAGTCCAAACCCTTACCCCTATCGAGTTCAACCCTTCCCCCATCTTTGGGCTTAAAGTTTAAACTCACATGTTCCATGAATCTCATCTCATTGGGCCCCTTTCACATTTGCATAATTTTCCGGTCCAGCCCATGTGCAGAACACCCAAAACTTGACCCGCCATCTGACCCAAAAAAATGAAAACTTGACCCCCCAACTTTTTTTTGTTACAAAGCGATACTGAAAACTGGTGACTCGCCAACTCTAAAAGTCGAAAAGCACTGAAAATCCAGTAGCCGCTGTAAAAACAAATCCTATTGGCTAGCGTGCGGAGCACACGGATCGCTATCCGCTTCACTCTACGAAAAACAATCTTCACCGTTGATAACAAGAACAAATCAACGCTCTGTATTACCTCATCCAAAATTTTCAAATTCCCCAAATATTTCAAACTCGCCGCTTCTTCTACTCTTCCACTGTATAAATTAATCCGATCAAATCCTTCAAAATTCACAAATTCATCGCATTTTCTCACTGATTTTCCCGAGAAACAAACAGCCCAAAACATCCCAAATCCCTCCAAATCCTTCAATCTTCCCAACTCCAATCCCAAATGGCTCGTACGAAGCAGACTGCTCGCAAATCCACCGGAGGCAAGGCTCCACGGAAGCAGCTGGCCACCAAGGCTGCCCGGAAGTCGGCTCCGGCGACAGGAGGAGTGAAGAAGCCCCACCGCTTTAGGCCCGGAACCGTGGCGCTGAGGGAGATCAGGAAGTACCAGAAGAGCACTGAGCTTCTGATCCGCAAGCTTCCGTTCCAGAGGCTTGTGAGGGAGATCGCTCAGGACTTCAAGACCGATCTGAGGTTCCAGAGCAGTGCTGTTGCGGCGCTTCAGGAGGCGGCGGAGGCGTACTTGGTGGGTCTGTTCGAGGACACCAACCTCTGCGCCATTCATGCTAAGAGGGTCACGATCATGCCCAAGGACATCCAGCTCGCTCGTAGGATCAGAGGCGAGAGGGCTTAAGAAAATAAAAATCCGCAATTTCTTGGGTTTCTTGTTTCGATAACTTGTAGTTGATTTGGGGTTTTAAGAATTTGATTGTTACTCACAATCATGAATTAGCTGCTGGGCTTGAATTTGTATATCTTTTCGTGTTTTGAAATGAAACGTTTGCAGTTGTTTAATTAAATTGTGAAGTTATGTTGTGGTTGTCTTAATCCCAATGTGGGCGGCAAAGAGTTGTGAAGTCGTACACTCTCGGTTTATGCCGGACATGTATGGATCATTCAATCATCAAGGCAAGCTGTATATCTACTTGTCTCCCAGTTTTTGTTGATGTTGCAAATATTGTTTTTCATTTGGGAGAGGAAGTTAGATGTACAGCTTGCATCGATGGTTCAATGATTTGTACACTTGTCTGACATGGTTCGGAGTGTACGAGTCACCACCACACTTTTCCTCTCACAACGATGTTCAATACCGGTTGATAACTCGAGTGGTCGATCTTTTGTGTCTAACCTTTCACCTTATTGGGTTATATAGGGAGGTTGGGATGAATTCTATTTAATTTGAGAGGACCGCCATTATGTTTAGATAAGACCAAACTTGTGCGTTTTGAATTCATAAGGAAAAAGAGAAACCGTAAAATAAAATTTGGGGGCCGTTTGGTTGGTTATGTGTGTTTGAATTTATAAAGAAAAAAAAGAAACTGTAAATTAAAATTTGAGTCTGTTATCATAAGGTTGATTTTGTGTGTTTTAAGTTCATAAGAAAACAAGTAATTGAAAAATTAAAATTCATGACCATTATATTTCGATAAGATTGAATTTGTGCATTTTGAGCTCACATGGAAAAAGAGTAATTGAAACATTAAAATCTGAGGCCATTATGTCTGAATAAGGTTGAATCTATGCGTTTTGAGTTCATAAGGAAAATGAGTAATTGAAAATTCAATTCCGAAACCATATGTTTTGATAAGACAGAATATGTGAAAGGAAAGAGTAAATGAAAAATTAAAATATCAGGTTATTATGTTTCGATAAGGAGGAATCTATGTATTTGGGCTCAAAAGGAAAATGAGTAACTGAACGAACAAATTCGAGGCCATTATGCTTCGATGAGACGAATTTGTGTGTTTTGAGTTCATAAGGAAAAATAGTTATTGAAATTAAAATATGAGGGCGATACATGCTTGAAAATAAGCAAAGGAAAGCATCCAAGTCTTGAAATCGTTTACACACAAACTCAGAAAATTGAGATGGCACTCCAAATGAACTCCATTCCGAGTGAAAGGGTCAAACACTTTGCGATTTGGTGCTTGAAAAAATTTTGTGCACAAAAACTGTAATATAACGAACATGAGGACACTCTTTGACAACGAGCAGTGCCAACTTTAAAGAGGAACTAGCAAGGAACCAATGAGTGTCCATACCAACATGAATTTTGTGCTCAGCACCATTAACAAAACCACCAGTAACAATGAAGTAGACACACTAGAAGCCCATAATACATGAACACAAAATTAAAATAATCACTAAGGGATACTAATACTTCATCAAAAAAGGCACTTATAGACGGAAATACTAAAGCAAAAAACAAAAATGCAACGATCAATGAAAAGAGGAAGGAGGAAGGTTGGCTAGGAGAAGTGGCAAGGGGACGACGACTATGAAGTTTTTAGATTTAGTGTTTTGGTATGAAAAGGAGATGAAATTTCCATCTGCACAATTTATTTTATCTTGTAAGTGCAATTTTATGTTTTTTTTTTGGTATAATAAATCGAAATTCTATGGTGCTTAATTAGCTAATTCCCAATTGTATTGTGCCCTTATTTGGGCAGTAAAAAATGGAATTCTTGACGGTAATTTGGAATGGCACTGGTAAAAAGGTAATAAGAGATAAAATGTTCTGAGAAAATTTAATTAATATGGACTACCAATTTGTTACAAATTAACTTATAAACATTACAAATTAACTTGACATTGCACGAGCTCTTCCCTTCTTCGCTCTTATGGACTCATGGACATAGCCTGAAGTACTAGCGTTGTGCTAACTTGACATTGCACGAGCTCTTCTCTTCTTCGCTCTTATGGACTCATGGACATAGCCGGAAGTACTGGCGTCGTGCTGACATTGCACGAGCTCTTCTCTTCTTGGTTCTTATGGACTCATGGACATAGCCTGAAGTACTAGCGGCATGCTCTTCTGCAGCCACAACCAGAGAGGTTTGGTTCTGGACCTCTAGTCATCAGAGACACCTTATGGTCATCGTGCACCCTTCTTCCGGACTGAGGCTCAGCAACACCACCACCAATACCTAATGCCCGAGCTCTCTTTTGCTAATTAGCTCTCACCGACTTGTCTCATTGATGGCCAGAAGTACCCGCCTCGTGATCATGCCGACCCACCACCAGACTGGTTCCATTCCAATGATGCACTCCTCCACAGAGAGCAGCAACCGCATCAGCAAGAAGATTGATCTTCCTCTTCCGGCCTCTCTTCTTTGCCATGGTGCTTGTAGGATTTACAGGCACCACAGGGACACTGCCGTCGTCAAATTCCATAAGCTGGAGTTTTGAATCTCCTTATCGTTCTTCCGACGGAATCTTATTGCTTTCGCTGCAGTGCTCAGGGCCCTGCAGTGAACGCCGGTGTGAGCCGAGATTAGCTGTGGTGACTGGTACACTCCGAGGCGTATTGGACAATTGCACCAATTATTTGATCCGCGGGGCGCAGGCTGTGTAGCTCCCATTTGAGAAATAATATTTTCCTCGATATCGTCAAACTTCTACTGAAGTTCCTCCTCGACATCGTCGTCGCCATTCTGTTGGTAAGGGGTGGGGTTTTAGCTGCTCGGTGAAACCTGAAAGAGCTCAAACCTCGTGGAGATTTGTACCTAATACCAACTATGGCAGACCAATTCTTTATCAGAACGTTGGCCGGCATAGATCTGTTCCTTCACATGATCGATTCCCTGGGCGAGGGACATCAAGTTTTGATGACAATGATCATGCATGTATCCACGATGCAATTGATTGAAGTGAAAATTTGAGAAGTTGAATGGTGAAAGAAAACCTTAATAATTAAGTTCGAAACTCAATTTATATAAACAAATGAGAGTTGAGCGAAACACAGGATAAATGGCTTCAATGGTCGATATTTGTTTTGTTCTCTTAGGCTTCTCCTTACTAGGTTATATATAGAGATTAGAGAGGCATGGGAGGAATTCTTTCTCGCAAGGGCACAATGGTAAGTTCATGAATTCTGTTTTTGGTAACGGAGAATACAAATTGGATTGGACCAACAAAGAAAATTAAAATCCCGAGGCCTTTTTGTTACCGAATCTTGATTTATGTGGAAAAAAATAACAAAAAATTAAAACCTGTCACCATTTTTTTCGATAAGACCGAATATGTGTATTTTGTGTTTCAGGAAAGAGAACGATTTAAAATTTAAAATCTGAGACCATTATATTTCAATAAGACAAAATTTATGCGTTTTTTGCATTACAAAAAAGTAATTGAAAAATTCAAACACGAGATGTTATGATAACACTATCTTTGTGTTTTGGGAAATAGAGTAACTAAAAAAAATATATGTGGCCATTATGTTTTGATAAGACCAAATCCATGCATTTGGCGTTGAAGAAAGAAAGTAATTGAAAAGTTAAAACAAGAGAATCTTTTGGTTTTGACAAAGACCAAATCCATGCGTTTGGCGTTAAGGAAAAAAAGCAATTGAAAAATTAAAACACATAACTCTTTTGTCTTCGATAAGACCAAATCTATTCATTTTGGCGTTAGAGGAAAAAAGTAACAGAAAATCCAAAACACAGAATCTTGCCATTTTGAGTTCATAATAAAAAAAGCAACTGATAAATTAAAACAAGAGCGTTATGTTTCGATAAGATCAATATGTACGTTTTGAGTTCATAAGGAAAAAGAATAAATGAAAAAAATTAAAGTCCGAGTCCATTATGTTTCAATAAGACTGAATATGTGTGTGTTTGAGTTCATAAGGAAAAAGAGTAACTAAAAATTAAAATATGTGGCCATTATGTTTCTATAAGATTGAATATGTGTGTTTTGAGTTCATAAGGGAAAAAGTAGTTGAAAAATTAAAACACAAGACCCTTTTGTTTTGATAGGATCGAGTCTGCGTTTTAAGTTCATAAGAAAAAAGAGTAACTAAAAAAAATTTAATATGTGGCCATTATGTCTCAATGAGACCAAATCCATGCAATTTGCATTCAAGGAAGAAAACAACTGAAAAATTAAAACACATAATCTTTATGTTTTGATGAGACCAATTCCATGCGTTTGGCGTTCGGGGAAAAAGTAACTGAAAGTTAAAACAGGGAATCTTTCTGTTTCAATAAGACCAAATCCATATGTTTGGCGTTAGAGGAAAAAAGTTATTGAAAAATTAAGACACGAAATCTGTGCTTTTTGAGTTCATAAGGAATAAGAGTAACTAAAAAAATTAAAACACGAGAGCATTATGTTTCAACAAGACCAAAATGTGTGTTTTGAGTTCATAAGGAAAAGAGTAAGTGAAAAAAATTAAAGTCTATGACCATTATGTTGCGATAAGACCGAATCCGCGCATTTTGAGTTCACCAGGAAAAATTGGAATTGAAAATTAAAATCTGTGACCATGATGTTTTGATAAGATCTATTATGTACGTTTTGAGTTCACAAGGAAAATGAGTAAATGAAAAATTAAACATGAGATCGATATGTTTTGATAAGAACGAATTTGTGCGTTTTGAGTTCTTAAGAGAACAAGGTCATTAAAAAAAAATGGTAGTAATGTTTCGAAAAGATCAAATTCACGTGTTTGGTGTTCGAGGAAGAAAGTAACTGAAAATTTGAAACACGGGATCTTTTTGCTTCGATAAGACCAAATTCACATGTTTGTTGTTCAAGAAAAAATGTAACTGAAAAATTAAAACACGGGAGTGTTATGTTTGATAATTAAGACCAATAACTACGCTTTGAGTTCATAAGGAAAGAGTAAGTGAAAAATATTAAAGTCCAAGGCCATTATGTTTCGACAAGACTAAATCTGTGTGTTTTGAGTATAATAATGAAAAAGAGTAAAATAGAAATTAAAATCTAAGGCTATTTTGTTTCAATAAGATCAAACATCCATGCGTTTTTCCAAGAAGTGCAACCGTGATTTCACAATTTTTTTCTACAGATA